AGTCATATTTCAAAATGATGACTCAATACCTAGATTGTCCCCGGGTGCCGTTATTATGGCAGACAAGGGTTTTACCATAGAATATTTACTGCCTGCAGATGTTGGATTGAATGTTCCTTCCCGGATGTCATCTGAATGTCAAATGTGTTCATCAGAGTTGTTTTTTTTTCAAAACTGCTCATATTGCCTCAGCTAGAATAATAGTAGAGATGAAAATGGAGCAAATTAAAAATTTTCAAATTCTGTATAATCTCTCTCAGAGGCACATCAGTCGGAACAACTAATTGTTATATGTGTGTCATTAACCAACTTGTTAACACCTCTCCTACAGTAAAAATAAATTTATGCAGTTACTGTTTAATACTTGTACAGAATAGTTTTGCCTAAGATACAACATTATATACAATAGTTGTGAATAGTTTTTATATAGGGAACGCTATAGAAACGCTGATTAATGTCGTTCTAGCTATGCTATCGATTAAACTGATATAGACAATGTAGGTAACCATTCCGCGAATTCAACAAACCGCAATCGTGTCAGAGGAGAGAAAAAAGTGAAAATTACAACCCGTGAAATTAATCCCCTATACAGTACTTTATTTAATACCCAGGAGCAGAGAAGAAGATTTTGAAAGAATTAATGCATTTTCACTATACAATTAATAGAGCCGCGCCCTAACATCAGAACCACTGACCCTGGGGCCATGAAATTCACAATTTTAGGAGGCACTCTTGCTCATCATAACTATAAACTTGGTTAGTGTATTTAATACCCAGGTACAGAGAAGACGATTTTCAAAGAATTAATGCATTTTCACTATATAATCAATAGAGCCCCGCCCTAACACCAGAACCCCTGACCCTGGGGCCATGAAATTCACAATTTTGGAAGAGGCATTCTTGCTCTTCATAACTATGTACTTAGTTACTTTATTTGATACCCAGGTTACGCACGTTGCACGACGACGGACGAAAACGGATAGCAATAGGTCACCTGAGTGACTCAGGTGACCTAGAAATGCCAGGGGAAAATCTAATTAGAATTTATGTGAAGAGAAAGTATTTTATAGCAGTTTGGGACATAGAATTAACATAAAAAACAGTGCGGCGTCATGCTATGAAGATATATATGATGGAAATTTATATTCAAATTTATATGACAATAGGAACCAAAGTTTATAAGTAGCAAAGCATCTATTTGAGTACATGTATTTTTATATAATTACTGATGAACTGCCTTTAGGATGACATTTAATCAAGGTTTTAGGTCATAGAATCAGATTGATATAAAGTAAATTATCTTATTTTTTCACTGTTGAATTTGGCCTTTTTGTTGATTTCTTTAGCCCCGCCATGCCCCCCCCCCTTTGGACGCATGTTGCTTTGGTCATTTCATTTAAGAAATTATAGCAAGGGAAAGAGCAATCTTCCCCCTGGTAAATCCCAACAGAAAGACACAGCAGGGACATCACTTACTACAACATGGTCATTATGCACCTCTGACAATGGATATGATCACTCACCTGCAAAGACCGTGTTATAATTACAGATCAGCTCTCAGTTTTATATCACTTATTGATCCCAAAAGCTTTAAGAATAACACACCATTGAATAATTATTTAGACTCTGCATGAAAAGTTGGAGTTCTATATAACTCGCATAGTCCATCTGTGAATCTGTCAACACATTTATTGTTTTGTAGTTAACTTTGAGGTCACAGTTAAATTTCATAAAGTGAGATAAATATTTTTTTCCCGTTTTCATTTAAAGCACCACCACCTGCAGCTTTTGTAAAAGCGAAGTTCAGGTCAATATAAGGAAGTTTACTCATTATTACAACCAACAATATATAAGGACCTCTCTAGGAAATGAAATAAAACGAAACTCAAGTACATCTACTAAGTTGTTACAAACCACCTTTACCAGAACAAAGAAAGAATGTGAAAAAAAAATATGTAAAAAGAAATCTTGCTAAAGTACAAAATGTAAACCATGGTTTAACAGAGAAACAGACTCCCCTAGAAAGGATTAAATTAGCAGAGCCAAAAATATCGCATACACAAGTTCTCCCAGAGGAAAAGAAGGCAGAAGAGCTTGGATCAGCAGATCAACAAGTTTTCCCAGAGGAAACAGGAAAATCCACTTATGCATCATTTTTTACATACTGTGTGTATGTAAGATCTTTTCATCGTCAACTTTCCTTATTGAGGTAGTAATAATTATATCCCACAATCACCTGCATGAAATATTAAAGAAATAAGATATTTTCAGATTTTCATTGGGATATGACATGTTTATGGGTTGTTGTACATTTGATCACGTAATAACTACATGTCACATCCCGATGAAATTCTAAAAAATGAAATATAATTTCTTTTATTTACATTTTATTTGCGTTGCAAAGCAAAATTTGCACTAATTTGGCATTTTTATGGAAATACAACATTACTTACATATACGACATCATAGAACTTCCAAAAGTATCGTGCAGTTTGATATTCGCAGGAAAGTCTGATCACGTGACATACTGCATGTCATTGAAATTTGAGTGTCAATTTAATACGTACTGTCATATAAGGAAAGACATTGGCAAATGTAAATATATGGAAATAAAGAACAGTATTCAAGCTCAAAAATCCATTCAAAGTATACAACTCAGAAACAGAGCAAACACGGACCTCTTAAACATCAGAAGTGGGATCAGGTGCCACGTTGATTACGTCTCCCAACTTATTCGATAGTCACGTGCATACTTTGATTTTTTACCCGAGGCAGGATACCGACAGATAAGTTGATGTTACAGGGGTTTCAACAATCTCGTATAAAGTCAGCATTTCTTAAATTCTATGGTCGTTTTTTATGAATTTGTTAGCAAATATAACCATTCATGGAACCGTATGTTGGAATAATTGTAAGGCCTTTGTTTATATTACTGAAGTTGATTACGGAATGTTCCGTCTACCTGAACTATACGTAAGGCTCAAGGTGGGTGTGACCGGTCAACAGGGGATGTTTACTCCTACTAGGCACCTGATCTGACCCCAACTCTGGAATTTCCAGGGGATCGTGTTTTATGCCTGCTCACAATTTGTATCTATTATAGATTTTAATTAGATCGATCACTTCCTTATTTTCACCTTGTTACTGAATAACAAAAAATTTTTTTTCACAAACTATTTCGCTTTAGAACCGCCTCTGATCTTCTTGGTTGATTGAATAATACTACTTACTAATATCCTTCTCCTACCTCTCCATTTGGGGCAATTGTAATATACGGAAGCTATAACACTTGCCCGCGTTATATAACGAACAGTAGTCAAGCTTACTACAGAATGTTAGTAGGTCTGGCTACAGTACGAAATAGTTGCTCTGGCTACAGTACGAAATAGTACCTCTGGCTACAGTATGAATTAGCATAGCTCTGACTACAGAATGTAATAGTAGCTCTGGCTACAGTATTCAATAGTAGTTCTGGCTATCATGATTAAGTAGTAGCCCTGGCTACAGACATAAAAGTGGAAGATCGGGCTACAAAATGTTAATAACGTTATCAATTTAAGTTAGGTGGACTTAGTCTACCAGTTAGCTCTGTCTATTTTTAATTTCAACTGTATATAGCTATCACTTCAAGGGTAGTGAAGCCAAACTTTACATGGTTGTTTGCATATATCATTGCATTAATTCAATTTTACAGGATGGCATCCAACCCGAAACGACGCCGTACACGTTAAGAAGAACAACACCATAGCAAGCCTGATGAGATGCGCGAACTGGTGGAGAAGTGTACGGTCGCCACAATACCCCTAGTTCAGGAAACAGTCATAAAATGCCTTGAAAAATTCAGACAATTTGCCACTGCTACATCATCTTAAACAGACTCTACAGTCACGCAAACCTCAGTGTCCTTGACACCCCAGTCAACTAACAGTTCAACTTCGAACCAAGAAGCAGGGTCTTTGACGACAGGATCATCAATCTTCTCATGCAGAGATCACTTCTGCAGGTACGAGCAAAGACGACTCCCCTCCCCCACCCCCCCACCCCCCCGCTCACAATCCCTACCCACCACAGGAATTGCTAAACCAGTGGGCCTCGGGGTTGATCCAAAATCAAAGCAAAAATCTTTGCTAACCAGTGTGTCGAGTTAAGACTACTGATTCCCAATACCAATTTTGACCAGGAATCCACATTTAAGACGGTGGAACAAGATGGCAACTTAATTTTTGTTAAAACAACTGACACTACTAAGATCCAAACCCTTGTTCAGTGGACAGATGCACTTCATGTGTTTGTCGCAATTTACTGTCAAAAATATCCAGAGAAGGTTAGTCACCTTATGACATACGCCCCGATTTTACGCGGTATTGCCAAGTCTTGTGGGGAGGATGCTGCGATTGAGTATGATGAAAAATTCCGTCAGTGGCGACATCACACCAACTGCATGTCCCTGGATTTAAAAAAAAATGCTGAGCTTTTTCAAGAAGCAGTTATGGCTGAAGTAGATGTCAAGACCGAATTTAGGAAACAGCCCCTTCGTGCTATCCCATGGAAGCATAACTACTGCTTCTTATAAAATAACAAAGGTTCCTGCACCAAACCAAACTCCACGTATGCACATACCTGCCAGAAATGTGCAGGACGACATTCTAAAATACAGTGCACCAATGGTCGCCCTACCTTGTCAAGTACCAGCCAATATAAATCAACCCATGTCAACTCCCACGTTAACAGGCTGCTCAGCCCCCAAAAAAAGATTGATTGCTCAATATCTACACCAATTAATGCGAGTGTATTATAGAAAATTATTTACAAGAATATGACCAAGAAACCACACACTTCCTAGTGACAGGCTTCTCCTGTGGTTTTAAAATTCCCTATGTAGGTCAGCGACAGTTTCGCTTGTCTAAAAACTTACCTTCTTTAAAGGTGCTTAGACACAGATTTGAAGTTAATAAAGATTATTTTATGAAATATACAAATAATCACTCTTAATTGACGGAAGTTACATGTAAGTCATATGGAAAGAAGAATCATTTAGGTACAACTTGTTTAAGCACACTCACAGGAAGTGAACTGTGGTACAACTTAACAAATTCCTCAACTTCCTCTTCACAATTTCCCGCTGAAGCAGTCACATTGTTAGTTCCAAGTATAGCTAAAAATCTACCATCATCGGCAAGATGCCTCCAGTAAGAACAAAAAGACGGACACTCTCAAGAAGACAGATTGAAACCCAGCAAGTGTCACCATCCAGGGGACGACCAAGGCCTAGGAATCAAAGGAGAACAACGGATGGCGCTTCCCAAACATCAACGTCCGCAGCCATTGTTAATGTGGCTGCACAACCCGATTTCGCCAACTCAACAGACGAATCCAACAACGCAAACGGTGAGTCAATAATGAATCTACCAACTATTTTTGAGGAAGCAACACCTCAGACTCTAGAATTTACACCTTTAGACGTAGATGAATATCAGCCAGTTCAAACTCAAACTACTTTTGACCCATTAAGTGGTCACATTCCACCTAAACTGAAACAAAAAATATGGGAGGGTAAATTCATTGATTTGGCCTTACTGTTAAAATCCGCCCGGGAATTGGCTAATGAGATGGACTCAAAGGGGGAATTACAAATTAGGGATGGGAAAATGTGCTTAATTAAACAAAAGTCCAATACATACTTGTCTATAGACAAGTGGACGTCTGCCTTTATCATTTTCTCCAGCGTTCTACTGGAGAAATACCGCACTAGGGCACAAGAGTTGCTAAAGTACATGCGTGACATTCGTCTCGCTGCATCAAGGTCTGCGGGTTGGTTCAGGTACGATGAACAGTTTAGAGTAAGAAAGGTTTCTGACCCCCATTCATCATGGGGCCAAATCAATAGTGAACTTTGGTTACTTCATATCACCAATTCTAATGTCACATACAATTCAGAGCCAACATCCAAATCTCGTATGCTCCCTTACAATCAGCAAAACAGGTCAAATTTACAAATGACTACCCATTATTGCAACATTTATAACAGTGGTAAAAAATGTCAATTCTCCCCAAATTGTAGGTTCAGACACTCCTGCAGGTTGTGCAGCGGGACCCATCCAGCAATCAACTGCAGAAAACAACAGTCCAACCACTAATTACCCAGTCCCGTCTAACACCAATGTATACACATTGTGCAACACACCAATCAAAATAACTCCACTGCAAACATTTTTAGAAACATACAAAGAGAAAGAATTTTTGATAAATGGTTTTCAATTTGGTTTTCAATTACAATACAATGGCCCCAGAAGACCCAGAGAAGCTAAGAATCTAAAAAGTGCATATCAGCACCCTGAAATTGTTCAACAAAAAATCAACAAAGAATTAGGTCTTAAAAGAATAGGTGGCCCCTTTCAGCATCCCCCTTTCCCAACACTTCAGATTTCACCTCTAGGACTTGTACCTAAAAAAGATGGGGATTTCAGACTTATCCACCACCTATCATACCCAGAAAATGACTCCATCAATTATTACATAGATCAATCAGCTTGTTCAGTTCATTACTCCCACATTGATGATGCAGCAGGCATGATCGCCCTTATGGGAAAAGGTACATTGTTAGCTAAATCAGACATCAAGTCAGCATTCAGACTCATACCTGTCGCCCCCTCCGATTTTGATTTGCTAGGTTTTAAATTTTCGTGAAGAATATTATTTTGATAAAATGATGCCATTTGGTGCCTCTATCAGTTGTGCAGTCTGGGAAAAATTTGCTACTGTATTGCACTGGATAACCCAGAATATTTCACGTAACCCAAATATCTTGCACTACCTTGACGATTTCTTATTCGCAGGCAAATCACATTCTCAACAGTGTGCAAACACTCTATCCGTATTTCAAAATATTTGCCAAGAGTTGGGGGTCCCAATAGCACAGGAAAAAACCACAACCCCTTCCTGGGTATAGAACTAGACACAATAGAAATGGTAATGAAACTCCCACAAGACAAGTTGGCCAATCTTCAACATACCATCCAAACTTGTTTGTCTAGCAAAAAGATCACCCTTCAATCCCTACAATCCCTCATTGGCCTGCTTAATTTTGCATGTAAAGTAGTGGCACCTGGGAGAGCATTCTGCAGGAGGCTAATCGATGCAACCATAGGCATCCGGAAGCCGCATCATAAGTTAAGAGTTACTCTAGAAATGAAAGCCGACTTGCTAGTTTGGTTGAAATTCCTACAAAATTACAATGGAGTCACTGTAATATCAAACAACATATGGACATCAGATACCTTCTTGCAGCTATTTACTGACAGCGCTGGGGGGCAAAATGGGGGGTTCGGAATCTTTTTCTCTGGGAGTTGGGCTTACTCAAAATGGCCACAAGATTGGGTGCAATCTGAAATCATCCGAGGTATGACATTTTTGGAATTGTTCCCAGTATATGTTGCAGTTCTGATCTGGCACGAGTCTCTAGCAAACAAGTGTATATTATTCCACATAGATAATATGGCCGTGGTACAGGTTTTGAACAACTCCACATCCAAATCTAACAAAGTAATGAAAATTGTCCGAGAATTGGTCCTTATTACTCTACAGTACAATATCACAATAAAAGCACAGCATATTCCAACTAAACAAAACTCTATAGCAGACTGTATTTCTCGTTCACAGTGGACAAAATTCCACCAGCTGGCACCGGACGCAGAACAGTGGCCCACACAACTTCCACCCCAGATATGGAATATCTGGTCGCCGAATCAGAGCGATTAATTCAAAAATCTATCTCTCAAAACTCCAAACAGGTTTATAATGCAGCCCTTAAAAAATTCCATGGCTTTCTCAAATCATACAATCTAAAAGAAATTTGGCCCATACCTCAGACATAATCCTCAACTTTATTGCTTATTTGTCAATACAAGGGCTTTCCGCAAACACAGTCGAACTCTATGTACGGGCACTTTCCTTTTACCACAAGCTAAAAGGATTACAGGACACCACTAAGTCATTTCTTATAGCCAAAGCACTTGAAGGTCTCAAACGATCAATAGGTAGAGCAGTGGATACCCGCTGCCCAATCACCCGCCCTCTGCTTAGAGAGTTAATCTTATCTCTACCCGCAATATGCTCCTCACCATATGAAGCCACGTTATTCACGTCTGCATTTTCACTTGCTTATTTTGGCTTACTCAGGGTAGGGGAATTTACCAGCACAAACAAAGCAAAGTACTCGCACTGTATAAAATTTCAAAATGTAACAGTACATAACACACACTCACACATTAAAGTAACTATCCCTCACTCAAAGACAGATCAAAAAGCCCATAAAACAACACTCATCATTTACAAAGAGTTGGATACTGTCTTGTGTCCAGTTCGAGCTGTCAGCAGTTATTTGAATATTCGCCCCTCAACATCACCCTTAGACCCCCTCTTCATTCACATCAACTCAAAACCTTTAACAAGATATCAATTTAACGCAGTCCTTCAGGAAGCCCTTGTCTCTACAGGTAAACACGGGCATTTCTGTACCCATAGTTTCAGAATAGGGAGGGAAACAGATATGGCCTTACATGGGGTGTCAGATGAGGTCATAAAAGCGTCAGGCAGGTGGAAGTCGCAAGTTTACTCCTCTTATGTCAGAATGTAGTTAGTTTATAACAAGTTAAGCCAAAAAAAAAACAAAAAAAAAAACAAAAAAAAAAAAACTTTCTAATCCAAGCAAAGTTTTTCAGGTGTCCTGAAAAACATTTGGATAGTGGGATCCTCAATCCCTTATTGGGCCGGAGAGCTTGCTGCCACCCAGCCGGGTGGCAGAAACCTTAACCTACCAGCCTGCATCAAATGGCATGCCATAAGGGGATTGCATTGGCAACAACTTGACCCTCACATCTTGAAATTGCTGAAAAACTTCACCCCCCTGAATTTTTAGTTATTCACCTAGGTTCAAATGACTTGACAACAGAAGGTTTGACTAGTAAAAAACTCATAGAAGAAATACAGTGCACATTCCTACGCTACAATGCATTATTACCCAATACCAAATTGGTATGGTCTTCTATATTACCCCGCCTATACTGGCATGGGGCTCCACTCAACTGCGGAGGCAAAATCGATAAGAAAAGGAAAAAGATAAACAGAAAAATCAGATCATTTGTTTTGGACCTGGGTGGATCCGTCATTTCACACCATAACATATCTGCAAAATCTGTAGAATTATTCAGATATGACGGGACACACCTCTCAGAGACGGGGAACCATTTGTATCTTCACAATCTCCAGGGGGGGGGGGGGCTATCATCATTTCTGTCTAATACAGCCACGGAATTTCCATAGAGGTCTACATTAGATCCATTCTCATAATACAAATCAATGATTTAAGTATGTTATGGTATAGGTAAATGGAGGAACATTATATCAATGTTTTATGGCGGGTCTGGGGGGACCTAAGGGGGGTTTTCGGGACATTTCTGGCCTGTGTTTCCCCCATCTGTCAACTAAGACAGAGGGCAGTTGTTGTTTGTGGGGAAAGTATTACCCCTTATGTAGTTTATGGTTGGGGTTCTACAAGTTTAAGCCATACTTGGTGCCCCCTTCACCTCTTTTAAAAGGAGGGAAGGCTCACAGTCTGGAGTACTCAGTGTCAGTAAGTACTATCGAACCAGGGAGCAATCTTCTGGAAACAGGGTAAACAGATATGTCCCAGGCCATTCCCGTCCACATGCTAGTTGTCAAGCATTGGGACTTCACCGGCACTTGTGCTCAACACAAGGCCTCCGTCATGCCCGTTATGCACCTTTGTGTGTTGGTATTTCGGCCGTAACCCCAGACCTCATATAAGATTTGGGGACAATGTGGCCATTTATGTCCATTATCCGTAGACTTTACAGTGACTTTACAGTGAATGTTGACAATTGTTGTATTTGAAAATGTGTGACTATAATAATTGGTGTAATACTACTGTTTTCAAGTTAATAAATGTGAAATGAACTTATGAGTTTTGTTATACATTCCTCAGGCATAGGAATTGTGGTAATGCTATGACAGCATGAATTGCAATGAAATTTGGTATGCGAATGGTTCTATGCAAATCAAAAGCAATCGAGATACCAATAGGTTGGTAATTGTTGAAGCAATATACAGACTGTTCAATTAATATTTTCACAAATTTTCTGTATAATATTACGACTTATATATTGCAATAGCATTTCACACGAAAATATAATTAAAAACTTATTTTATCTGGAAATTATTGGAACTACGAATTCCTGGACGCGTTTGATTAACACATCCTTGCACTTTCACAAATTTTATCTTTATCCTTAATATATAGGAAAAGAAGCGATTTTGTTGTGTATTAATGAAAAACATTACATCTATTATCCAGAAAATCCAGAGTAGAAATGTGCAAAAGCAAACCCCTTCACTAATATCGTCAGCCCGTGCTCAATGTTCTGTACAGAGTTTAACAAATTGAATACACCCGTGAAACGTAAATGTTTTTGTAAACAGGGCACGAGCTCTGTTATTGTTAATGTTTACGATTCAGCGGGTGTGTTCAATTGTTAAAGTCTGCACACACCACTGAGCACGGACTGACAATACTGTGAGTGGGTTTTGCTTTCGAACATTTCTACTCTGAATTTTCTGGATTATAGTTTTAATATTTTTCATTAATACACAACAAAATTGCCAGTTTTCTTAAGTATTAAGAATAAAATTAACATTTGTAAAAGTGCAAGGATGTGTTAATCAAACGCGTCCAGAAATTTGAAGTTTCAATAACTTCGAGATGAAATAAAATTTTTATTATATTTTAGTATGAAATGCTATAGCAACATATAAGTCATGAAATTATACAGAAAATTTGAGAAATATTAATTTCAAATTTGTGTCCAAGCACCTTTAAACAAAAACAAAGCTGTTGGCCAACAAAAAATCGAACAAGAGCTTCAGGCTGACAGAATAGCAGGTCCTTACCTATTGCCTCCTTTTGAAAATTTACAAGGCTCACCTCTGGGAATAGGTCCATAAAAGAATCCGGGGGAGTTCCGATTGATTCGCCATCTTTCATACCCCAATGGGTCCTCCATCAATGATAATATACCATAAAAATTTTGTGCGGTTCATAATTAATCCATTGATGATGCAAAAAAATAATAAGACAGATTGGGGTAGGAGCACTATTGGCTAAATCTGATCTTGAAAATGCATACAAACAGGTTCCAATTCACCCGGATGATTTCGAATTGTTAGGTTTTCAAATGGAGGGGTTGTTTTACTTTGATAAAACCTTGCCCTTCGGGCTCAGTTATTCATGCCATCTTTTTGAAAGGTTCAGTGGATACTACACACAAAATTTTTGGTTCCCCGCTATGTTCATGTTTTAGATGACTTCTTGTTTATTGGGTCCCCCAATTCTAAAGAATTGAAGAAGATGCTGAGCTATTTAACTTTAGCTTGTCCGCCGACAAATCTGGTGCCATTCTAGCTACTTGCACAGACAAAGGGAAAGAGAGAATGATTAAAGAAGGGAAAAGTCTTTACATTAGAGAATAAATTATTATGAATGGGAAAGTGGCCAAACCTCACAAAACAAAGATCATGGCAAAGGCAAGCATGTCCACTCCAGATTCCATGGTACAACGAGCACAACACCTTATTCTCCCCTGATCCCAAGTCAGAAAGATGGAAGAACTCTTAGCATCATCATTGAGAACATTCTCAACAGTGCAGTAACAGCTGTCAAAGGTGTAGTATAAATGTCATAATTATTTCAGCACACCATCAATTCATTGATTTCATTTCAATTCAAACGCAGTTGAACTTTGGTATCTTGAATATCATGGATATATATCGTAATTTAATTGAAGTCCCAACCACTTCTTATTTAAATATTTTTCCCTCGATATCTCGAATCGGCAGGCATCTATAAGTTGTTTCTTGGTGTCACCGAGTTCAAGATAATGAAGTTTGACTCTAATAAAATTCTACTTCATTTTTAAACAAAACCTTTTCCTTGTATTATTTGAGTAGCATATAACCTTGAAAATACTCTCTATGTAGAATTTGCAAAAGATTTTATTTTGTACATTTATGTTTTGCAAAATTAAACATCACATAACACTTTTACTCAAATGCATGTCAATTTTATACGATAATATGAAGATATCCTCTAATGTCACACATTTTAGTTAATTCAACGAATTTCAAATTATTTTAATAGATTGAATCTACTAGAACTGTGAAAGTGAATGGTTCAGAAACTGTCATCAGGACCATAAGCGTACAGGAAGATGCTTAGAAGATCGATATCACCCTGTAGTGTCATATGGCAGAAGAAGACCTGAAATTCGGCCAGTATTTGTCCATATCACACTGTATGGTAAATGAATGGCAATTGCAGAAGACTTTGAACATTACAAGAAATTCTAGAATACTGGGTATCGTTTCACAAAAGCATCGTAAATTACGTACTACTTAGCGAGTTACGACGAACTTAAGTAGTACCTACGTACTAATGAAACGAAATTCGGAATCGAAATCAGTAATCCCATTCTGTCTACTGGAAGCTTAGTAATAAGTTCACACTTTCCATCCTCAGAGATCACATGATAACTAAAGGGTATATAAGTAGAGACCACAGAGATCTTAGTCAGTTCCAGACTGAAGTCGAGAGAAGTCGGTTGGTTTTTAGCTAAGGTGAGGAACATAAACTTGCTTAATAAAGTCTTATGTGCCTGTATAAGGCTTTTGAGACTGTTGTATTTTTC